GACGTGGCATCAGCAAGAACCTCCTGTGTGTGTGTGTTTCCCCCTCCAAAAATACATATTTAAAAAAACACTTTAAATACTTCAATGGTCCCCAGGCCTGCCTTTTGTGGGATACTGTTGTGTCCAGCCCTTGTGGAACCGCCAGGAATCAGGAGGGCTTGAAGGGGCTGCTGCGGGCTGAGCCCCACCACGTGTCTCTTAGTCACAGAGTATTTATTTATATTTGAGCAGGTTTGGAGCAAAACTGGGAAACAGGAGTTGTGGGGGGGACACAAACAGGCTGCACCGGCTGCCCGGGCTGAGTCAGAGCTGGATCAGCCCCATCTCCACACCCGTGACTCACGCCGGGTATTTCGGAGTCTTGTGTCACATGGCCTGTTTGGGGATTTATTTCTGTGGTTTGGTTATTTTCCTTTATTTTCTTTTATTCCCCCCACCGTGAGAAGGGGCTGATGCTTTGAGTTGCGTGCTCACAAAACTCCAGGGACTCTGAGATGTTCCCACTTTGCTCCTCTTTGCCCACGGGAAAGGGGCGAAGGAAAGGGCTTGTGCAGGTGTCACATTCATCTCTGCAAAAATTATATATATACACCATTGTATGTATTATATAATACCATATATATTACATAATATTATATAGTATTATATAATGGAATACTATATATATTAATAATTGAGGTGTTGCAGCATGGAGGGGAGCCCAAATTCCTCTGGTTTCCTTCATATTCCTTCACGTTCATGGTGTTGCATTACCAACACGAATTTAACAGGGCAATTGCAATCACAGGCACATCCTGCCAAAACTCAGGGGAGGAATTGTCTTGGAAAAATCTGTGGCAGGGAATCTTCCAAAGCCGGTGAGACTGGGAACAGAGGCAGCCCTGAGAAGGCAGTGGCCATTCTCACCTGCTCACCGAGGGTCTGAAAATACCCAAATGTGAGACAGCACAGACATCCCAAGCTCCCAAAAAATACAATCCCCTCCCAAACACCGACTGTTTATCTGGGAAGCCTTTGGCCAGGTTGCAGAGCCTGGTGCTGTTCTCAGGTTTGGGTTTTATCTGAGCATCTGCTGCTGCATTTGGCTGCAGCTGGAAATTCTGTCGTTTTTTGGGTGAGGTGTCTCCCACTTGTTATTGTCATGCAACAGTTTGACACCTGGAGCGGTGTGTAAATGAAGACGTCTGATGTTTCCCTCCTAAGTGGGAACGGCTGTTTAGAATATCCTAGAAAATTTTGACTCCAGGCAAAATGAAAATGAGGAGCCTGGGGAGGCAGGCAGCTCCACTCCCAGGCTCCCCGAGGCAGCAGCAGCAGGGATCTAGGGATTTTCTTGCAGAATATTCCCAAGGTAAGGAATGCCACATCATGGGAGTGTCTTCTTGACCCCTCATAAAATTCCTGGTGAGCCCAGGAAGGATGCTGCGTGTGTGGCAGCATTTCCCTGTCCTCTGGAGATGTTTAGCATGGGATAGGACACACAAAATTCCCACCAGCGCTCATCACAAGTCTGGGCAGCTGAGTGGCCTGGCCAGATTTGGGAAAAGTGCCCCTGTTCCCCGTGGGGTCCCGGCGTGGGAGACACCAGCAGAGCTCCGGGACAGCTCTTCCCTGCCCTGCCCGTCCCCAGCTTGGCTGCTCTGGGCATTTGCCCGTTTTAGACTTTTGGGTGCCAATGCGTGTCCAAATGTCCTGCCTGAGTAAATCAGCCGGGAGCACAGAGCCTCAGTGGCCTCTAGTGGCTGTGGGACAAAGATCCCAGGAAAGGGGGCCCGCAGCCCCCCAGGCCCCCCAGACAGGCAGCACTGGGGGTCCATCCCACCAGGAGCCACACTTCCCATGGGGAGACACAAAGGCAAAGCCCCCCAAAAGCTCCAAGGCCATGACTGATGGGGGAGCACCCAGCAGGATGGCGCTGCAACCCAAATCCCTCTTGGGGATCCCATTCCCTGGCAGGGATGGAGGGAGAGATTTCGGGCAGCCACTGGGTTTTTCTCATTCTTGTGTTACACAGCAAGAAAAAACCCCAAGTCTTTATAGAAGGTAAAATTTCTTTCACATCTTTTTCCATTTTTCATTTTTCTAAACTGTATTTTCCGTCTGATGCCACAGTACAAAACATGAACCCCAGCAGTGAAAACAGCTGAGCAAACAGATCAAGAAGGGTTTGATACCGTTAAAATGATCGGTTTTGTGTCTTCTCCACCAAAGGTCACTAAAGCTGCTTCCTTCTGAGTAATTGTGATTTTTCAACAAGGGAAGAAGGAAGAATTGACCCATTTCATTCCCCAAACCCGCGGCACTTGGGGCAGGATGGAGCATCCCCTTCTGCAGCCCATGCTGTCCCTCCTCTCTCCCCCCCCATGATAAATAAATTACTTTAGGAGTGCTGGCCTAGTTTAACATGCCCTAGTTTTGATGGAGGAGGGGAAGGAAAAAAAAAAAGAGAGAGAATATTTATTTTGGGCAGTTGCTTCATGGGCGTCCTTTTGGGAAGAGCTTTGGGGGACTCACCCACTCCCCCTGCTCTGCTTTGCCCCGGCTGCAACACACTGCCCTCAATTTTGTTTTTTTGGTTTGTTTTTTTTTTTTTTTTTTTGTTTTTTTTTTTTTTTTTTTGTTTTTTTTTTTTTTTTTTTGTTTTTTTTTTTTTTTTTTTGTTTTTTTTTTTTTTTTTTTGTTTTTTTTTTTTTTTTTTTGTTTTTTTTTTTTTTTTTTTGTTTTTTTTTTTTTTTTTTTGTTTTTTTTTTTTTTTTTTTGTTTTTTTTTTTTTTTTTCTGAGTTACTGCCTAGGTGATGTGGGAAATGAGTGGTGGGGACACTGATCCAGCCCCAAAATTGTCATCCACTGCTCTGAGCCCCCCAGGACTGGTGTCATTCCAGGAGGCTTCCCGGGGCTGATGCCTCAAAGCCTGGGGAGCAGCTTTAGAGGTGAATGGAGACACACCTGGTTCTGGGTGTAAGCGGTCAGGGCTGGCTTTGCTGCAGAAGCAACTGTGTTAGCACCTTCCCCCAACACAAAAATCCCTGGGAAAATGGGATTAAACTGTGTTTGGGCATGGGAGTGGGATTTCACAAGTGCTCTGGGTGTCGCTGGGACCTTTGCACCTCGCTCGCCCCTCCTGCACCCTGCTCTTCCGAAGGTGCCAAGTTTCCTCCAGTAAGTAAACCTGCAAATGGCTCTTTTCTATACATTTTATTTTTTCCTCCTTTTTTTTCCCACCCCTGCCAAAACAAGCAGCCCATATGGGCAGGGTTGGGTGGGGATTTTTGCAGTTTCCATGGGGATTTGGCTCTGGAGCTGCTGGGTGCTGGCTTCTGGGGTTTGGTTCAGTTTTTTTTTTTTTTTTTTCCCTCTGATCCCTGTAACCGGAGCGTGGTGATGGCACCAGGCTCCCTTCCCGGCTCCGGCATCTCCCAGCCAAGGTCACCGGGGAGACCGTAGGCAGCCGCCGCCTGCGTTGGGCCATCTGTTAAATAATGTATGCAATAAACTCCTGCCCCGGGGCCAGCTTAATCCTTAAATCCTCCTTCAGAACACCATCTCCCGGCCGTGCGGGATGCCCGGCTCGGTCTCTTGGGCGCATCTTTCCCCGCCATCCCTGGTGAATCGCTCTCTCCTCGCCCCTCCATCCCGCATCCTCCCGTACGCGATCTCGCCGGGCTCTCCTGCTCCATTATTTATGTGCCGTGCATGAAAGATGCATATAAAAGAGCGGTTCATAATTTAGCAGAATCTCCTCTTCTTTCAGCCTCCCTTCCCCCTCTGGCTTCAGGCTTTCTCTGGATCATCACCGGCCTTTCCCGGGCATCCAGGTGTGTCTGGGGGGATCCCGGGCTGTGCCTGCGCCCCATCCTTGGAGCACCCATAGACGGGTCTGGGCTTCAGCGTGGTTTATGTGCTCAGAGGTCTTTTGATGTACGGAATAAAGTAGGAAATTTGGTTTGGCAGACCCATAGATCAGGTTTTTACAAAAAAAGGGGGATTTTTGGTGAACTCAATTAGCCCAGTGCTGCATCCAGCCCCTGGTTTTGTGTCCAGCAAGCTCCCAAGCGCTGCATCCTTGGCACACGTGGGATGCTCTGCTCTCCCAGAGCCCTGGGCTCACCCACAGATGCTGACTAGGGCAAAAACCCATTAGTCTGGGGAAAAAACCCCTCCCTTCTGGGGGCCATGTCGTGGTTTAGAGGTGCAGCAGGTCCCCCAGCACAGAAAATCCAAACTGTGCTGCTGTGTCCAACCCACACAGCCACGACCTCGGAGCTGAACTCGCTGGGGAAAAATTGAAATAATTGGGGATTTTTCAAGGGAGCAATTTAACAAAAGTCCTCATCATATCCTGGATGTGGGAGAGTGTGTGGGGGTTAAAAATGGAGCAATAAATAGCAAAGGTGGCAGGGACAGGAGCATTGTGCAGCCTTCACACCCCAGCTCCCTGTGCCAGCCCAAATTAATCCATCTCCCCCTAGGTCATCCTGTACAAATCCCAGCTCAGCAACATCCTGCTTTTATTGCAATGTATGGTTTTCTTTGCAATAAAATCCCACCCCTGGACCTGTTTCCCACCCGTGATTATATTCTTGTTCCTCGGGCACAAAGGTTGCCTCGCGCCCTCGGTGGCGTGGGCAGAAGGGACAATGGCCTTTTTTAACACCAGGATTTGGGGTTTGGGGGGAAAGGAGGCAATACTGGAAGGAAAATGCCCATTTCCCACAGCTCTTCCCACCAGTGAAGGGGAAGCCACCTTTTATTCCCATCTCCAACAGCCACTCTCAGAACCCAACGTTGAATTTTTCCATTAAATCTGTGCCCCTGAAGTGTTTTCCCATCAAACAAAAAAATCCCACAAATAAATATTAATTGCAAGTAGTTATTCACGAACCGGGGTCTGTGCTAGACAGTGGGGAGGTTTTCCTTAGTTATTTTGGGATTATTTGGGGGGACAGGGACAGATGCTCCTTGGCCCTGGCAGCCCACGGGAAAACACGGCAGATCCGCATTTATAATTTTTTTTCCATTTTGTTTCATTTTCCTTTTTATTCGGACATTGCAGAAATAGCCCTGTGTAGTGGATAAAAGTGCAACATACACAATATTTAAGAAAAGGAGGAAAGAAAAACCTGCCTTGAGGTCTGTCAGTCAATCGCAAACAGAAACAAGAACCAAGCCCGGGCACCAGAGGCGCTTTTTGTCCCCCCCACCCCTTTTTTTTTCCCTTTTGTTTTTTATGCACGTCATGCAAAATAGTTAAAAAGAAAGATTAGAAAAGAGAAGTCAGAGAAAACCCCACGAGAGATCGACCGAGCCCTGGAAAGAGCAGAAAGCTCCGAGTGCTGCTCATCTCGGGGAGGGAATCGCTGCCCTCCAGCATCTCCAAGTGTTTGGCACTCTTGTGATTACATTAAATAATTTCTTTTATATATATGTTTAATACAGTCTATTAAAGAGAGGAAACTGCCACAATATAAGGAAAAAAAAAGAAAAAACCAACCAAGATCACCCACACTACAGACTGCATGGTAGTTAGAAAAGCTGAGCGACCCCCCCGCCCCCCCATACATATAAAATCTGTCCCTTTGCTCACAGCAACCAAGAAGTACAAGCTTTAAAAAATAAACCAGCAATTCTTCCTTCAGGCCTTTCCTTTATAAAAGTTTTGGTTTTCCCCCCTCGAGAACCTTAAAACGTGACTAAAATTAAATATATATATATATATCTATTTTATATAATTTCCCAACATCCAAAGACATCAACATAAAAAAAAAAAAAAGAAATTCATACAGAAGGGGATAGCGTGGTACATCCAAGTGCACGGATTCATTTTTGCAAGATTAAATCATGTAAACAAGGTGCCCGCTGGGAACAACCCTGGCCGGAGGGAGACTCCAGGGGCTGTTCCCCCCGCTCCCCCATCTCCCGCCGCCCCCTTTCCTCTTACCCCCCGATCTAGCGCGGCACAAGGTTCATCAGCCCGAGAAAAGCGATCCCGAGGAATTCACAGCCGCGGCGTGACTCCTCCGTCCATCCCTCGGGGTGGGGGGCTTGAAGCAGGTGACTATTTTCCCGATTACACAGACATATTTTAATTTATTATCGTGTTTGAATTCACGGCTGGGCTGGGGCTCGCTCGCCGCCCGCCCCCCCGCGCTCTCCGGAGGGCAGCACGGGCGGGCGGCGCTGCGGGCGCTCGGCGGTCGCTGCGGGGCTGGGGGTTATTCTCTGCCGATCACCTGTGCCATTGTAAACCGACCCCTCCCCGGGCCTCAGCCCAGCGTCCCCAGGGAGCCTTTAAACACCGGGAGGGGCCTTTTCCGAGAGGTTTTGCAGCACATCGTCGATTCTATCATCTTCAATAACCACTAGAAAGCAGAAAGAAACAGAAGCGCGATGAATTTCCTGCCGCCGTGCTCCCCCAGCCCAAGGTCACCCTGGGGGGGCTGGAGGGGTCCCACATCCCTGGTGCGGCTGCTGGCAAAGCTCCGCGGCCCCGACCCGCCGCAGGGTACCCGGCACCGTGCCCCGTCCCCAGGGAGCGTCCCCAGGATCGCACGCCTCGGCACTGGCGCCCTGTCTCTGGGGGCCCTTGGCAAAGGACATGTCCCTAGGGAAGGTCCCCCCACCTTTGTGCCCTGCGGATGGTCCCCTGCCCCCGAGGAAGGTCCCTGACGCCCTATACCCGATGAAGTGCCCAGGGCACAACGTCCCGTCCCCAGGGAAGGTCCCGGCTGCCCAACACCCCGGTGACAGTCCTTGGGACGTGATGCCTGACATCCTGCAGGGAGTCTGCTGCATCGTGCCCCATCCCCGGGGACGCTCACGGTGCCCTGCATGCCCGAAAGGTGCTCGATGTCCCATCCCTGGGGAGGATCCACGGAACACGATGCCCAGCACCGCTCAGGGAGCCCGGTGCACCATACCCTGTCCCTGGGGACGGTCCCCAGCGCCCTGCATCCCTGGAAAACGCGATTCTCGGGATCGCGCTCGCTCGGGACGCGATGCCCGACACCCTCAGGGAGCCCGGTCATCACGCCCCGTCCCCCAGGACGGTCCCCGGTGTCCCGCACCCCCGGGGAAGGTCCCCGGCACACGATGCCCAAGGTCCCGCGGGACACCCGCTGCATCCCGCCGCATCCCTGGGGCCGTGTCCCGCATCCCTGGGGCCGTGTCCCGCATCCCCGGGGCCGTGTCCCGCATCCCGGGCAGCTCCCGCCGCGCCCCGCTCCCCCGGCACCCACCTCTCTTGCTGCGGCCGATCTGCCCCAGCTTGGGCGGCCGCTTGCCCTGCCCGCCGGCCAGCAGCCCGTCGCCGCCGCGGAGGCGAACGGGGAAGGGCAGCTGCCCCACGGCCGCGTCCCCCGCCAGCTGCCCCTCGCCGTAGGGCGGCCCCTTGTGGGCCCCCAGGACCTGTCCCTGCATGAGCCTTTCCTGGGGCACTGCAGGAGGACTTCTCAGGCACTGAGAGCTTTCCATGGGGTTTTCTGTGCAGAGTCACCACAACAGCGTGGGTCATTTGGGTTACTGCCTGGCAAAGCGAGCGATGGGAAGGTTGGGGATAACATTTTGGGAGAGCCCACAGCTATGTTGGGGTGTTCAGGCATCTGTGGTGCATCTCCACAAGTGCAGTGGAGCAGGAGGACAGTAGCAACAGCAGCAAAGGACCTGTTTGTGCAAGGCTGAGTTACAGGATTTCTCTGGAATCGGGAGCCTGGCTCGTTTTGGGGCTGAGCAGAATGGAAGGACAGGGTGCCTGGTGGTGCCAGGGCTGGGGTGGAGCAGCCCCCTATCCCGGGGCTGCTCCCATCTCCAAAGCCCTCGTTTGTGAAATCCTCACCCCCAGAGCTGCACAAGCCCCTCTCCCCGGCACTCCCGCCCGCCCCCGAGCTGTCAGCTCCTTACATAAGGTTGCGGCTACGCCCGAGATATCACAGGCAAAGCTTGGAAACAGGAGGCGAGGGGTAATGGGGAAGCACAGTCCCCCAAGGTGTATTTTTAGGCTTTGCCTGATGCTCCATTCCCGGGCAAAGCACCGAGGCTCGAGGCCATGTCCTGCACTGGTCAGAGGGGGACTGACCTCCCTGCTGTCCCCAGTGAGGGGATGAGGCTTTCTGGGGTGGTTGTTCCCCTGGAGAGGAGGGACACCTCTTCCAGCAGATGGGATTCTGCCGTTTCATTCTGCCTTCTGGGTTTTGGGGCTGCAGTGTGGCTTTTTGAGCTGCGTTCCGGCTGTTCCCGCTGGGATTCTGTTCCGCGGGCTGCCTCGCCCTGCAGGCAGCCACCGCCATCTACAGCTGGTGGGACACAGCCCTTTCCCGGCACTGGAGTAACCGGGGACCTGCTCCTCCTCAAAATCCAGCCGTGGATTTGTGCCTCACAGCCAGAATGGCTTTCGGACACTGCCCAGCTGCAGTCATTTCACTGTAAATTCAGGGGGTTTTAAATGCCAGTCGATGGGAAGGTTTCTTTTTGAATGTGCCTGGGGGATGCGGATGGCTCTGCCTGGAGCAGGGCTGCCCAGGGGCTGCCTCAGTCCTGGGCTCTCAACTGCTCCTACCTGAGGCTCCCTCATTCCCTAGGAATTGTCCTCCCTAGCAAATGTTAACTGCAGCAGCACTTTGGGTCCATTAACCCTGCTGGGTGCATATGGGATTTATGGCAAAATAGGAGTGTCAGGGAAGGGAATTTTCCTTTTTTGTGTCAGTTTGGGGGGTTTGGCACCACCTGTGTCATGGGGGGACAGCAGTGAGTGTCATGTCCAGTGCAGGGGGGACAGGTTTGCCCCCTCAGCCAACCTCCATCATAGCTCGGGATGATCCAGGCTCACTGTGTCCACCTCAGGGAGGACAAACCTCACCACTCCCCTGGAATAATCTGACACAGACACTTTTCATCCTATTTTATTACTTCACACCTCGATTGCTATCCCAAGCCAAGCCAAGCCAAGCCAAGCACAGCCATCAGCCACATCCCCATCCTCACACCCTGGTGTGACAAAGCCATTTTGGGGGATCACAGAATGACCTGTGTTCACACCCCCTGGCACAAGCTCTCCGACAGCCCCTCCTGCTCCATGAGGCCTTGCAGCCCTCTGGCCACCTCCCAGGCATTCTGCAGCCTCCCAGAACCCTTAATACATTTAATTTTTGTTTTCCCCATGTTTTTATCAGATGGGTAAGGGGCTGCAGGCTCTGTAACCATGACACAAACCCTGCGAGTTCGAACCTTAACAGAAGAGCTTCAAGCTCCATCTTCCCCTGAGCACCTCACCCTTTGCAAAGAATAATCTGTCTCACAAACACCTCCGGAGCACAGCGTGAGCCCTGATCAGCTGCAGAGTCACCTTTTCAGACTCTGCTCTGCCCCACAGTGAAGCACCCGCTCCCTCAAGCTCCCTCCCCTTCCCCAAAACCCACCACCCAAGCAGCGAGGCGACAAAACCCCTTCGCCAGTGGCAGCTTTAAATCCAAAGTCTCCCCCCCAAGAACCACAAAAAATTAACTGTTGTACAAGGGAACCACCCTGCTGATGCCCTGCCTGCAAATCGGGCACTTTTTGGGGCTGGGAAGAGCCTGGTAGCACTCGTGGCAGGAGCAGACGTGGCCACACTCGAGGAAAACGCAGGACTTGGTGCTGCTCAAGCAGACCACGCAGGCGTTTTTGAGAGCCTCCCCGCCCTCGGCGCTGGTCAGGCGCTCCTGGGCCTGCCGGAACTCCTCCTGCATCTGCCGCAGGTGCTGCCTCTCCCGGTGCTGCCGGTACTGCTTCCGCAGGAGGAAGAACAGCACGGCGCACGTGGCACAGCCGAAAACCACCGTCAGGATTTTCCAGAACCGCACGCTGGACTCTTGTTTCTGCAGCAAGGACTCGAAATCCAGCGAGCTCAGGTAGTAGGGCATGCCCTGCTTCGGGGGCTGCAGCTTGATGGTGGCGTTGTCCAGGACCAGCTCTCCCACCCCGGTCAGGGCCGTGCCCACCTTCAGCATCTGCTCCGTCTCCTGGATGCCCTTGGGACGCTCCCCGCTGATGTAGTGGCCGATGACGTCGGTGAAGGACTGCACAGAGGGGTGGAATTTCTCATACACCGTCTCCAGGCTGAGCTCAGCAGCGTCCAGAGGCTTCATCACCCGCACGGTGACGCCGGCACCGTCCTCGGCAGGGACCAGGTCAAAGGGGGTGGTGTTGGTTCTCTGGTGGATGATCTTCTCGTAGTCGTTCCTGGGGGGGGAGAAGAACAAGGCACTTGGTCACTCTGGCCACGCCTGAGGCCATTTCAAGGTGTGAGACCCGCCATGGGCACCACAGGGAAGTGATCTGACTGCCCCTGATGGGAAGCACAGCCTGGGATGGCCTGCTGGCTTTGGGAATGACAGATGGGACACGCCCTGAGTGGAGCTCCCTGGAGAACACCTTTCCCTGATGGCACTGTCCAGGGGTGCACGAGGCCACTCCACCCTCAGCTCAGTGCTCCCCCATCCCCACCTACTTCCTCCTCACCTGCCTGTGGCATTCCCAGCTGTCACAAACCATGCCATGAGGAGAGGCACCACGTGTCACACATCCCAGTTTCCCAAGTGTTACCAATTGCTTATCAAACAGCACCACTGGGCTCTGTTTCAGCAGTTCTGGGACCCTCCTCGGGTGACCTGGGTGTGGGGATCACCCAAATCCAATTAATTTCTGTTCTGCAAGTGGGGTTTTTTTTGGAAAGGCCATTCTCTGGTGGGGTAACAAGGTGGGGCTGATCAGTGTTCAGCCTGTATCAGGTTACTCGATGTGCTCTTCTCCTCCAGCCCCTCTGTGAAACCCTAAAATCAGCCAAACCCCCCCGTTATGGCAGCTGTCACTGTGGGGGCTGCTTTGGGACCCAGCTGAGGCACTTGGTCGCTCTGGCCATGCCTGAGGCCATTTCAAGGTGTCAGACCCCCCAGGGGCACCACAGGGGTTTGGGGGTAGCAGGCACATACCAGAGGTGGGTGGTTCTGTTCCACACCATCTTGTGCTCCTGCAGGGTCAGCCTCTGCACCACCCCCTTGCAGTTCTCCACAAACTGGCTGCTCAGCGTGTCCTTCACCGAGCGCACCACACCTGCAACGGGAACCCAGGGCCAGCTGAGGCCTCAGCAACAACCCTGTGGACAGACAGAAAAACTTTGTAGATAAGGAACAATAAACTCAACTGAAGACCAAAAGCAACAGTTCAGCTCCTTCTTTGAGAGCACGGCCTGCCCAGAACCACCTTTTCCCGTGCTGGGGCAGAGACCACTGGCAGCCGACCCTGACACCTGGCCAGGGGCTGGCACTGACAGCACCCGGGGAATGGCTTCAGTGCGCTGCTGGGAACAAATCCTTTCCTCCCTGGGAGGGTGGAGCCCTGGCACAGGTGCCCAGAGCAGCTGTGGCTGCCCCTGGATCCCTGGCAGTGCCCAAGCCAGGCTGGACAGGGCTGGAGCAGCCTGGGACAGTGGGAGCTGTCCCTGCCATGGCAGGGGGGCACTGGATGGGCTTTAAGGTCTCTTTCAACCAAAACCATTCTAGAATTCTAAAATGGGGGCAAAAGGGCTACGAGCCTGTGTTTTCTGCTGTCAGGAGTCTGTGGCTGCTTGGTGGGGGGGAAATGACCTGATGGGCACAGGAGGAGGAGCTGGGGATGAAATCTCCAGGTGAGGAGCAGCTGTGGGGCAGGATGTGCCCCCCAGCCCCATTTCAGGCATCACTTTGGGGCCTGTTTGAAAGAAATGAGGGATTTGTCTTTACAAACAAACTGTGGGTCTGCTGGTAGATAAAATACATACTGAGAGATAAAAGAAACAACGGCAAGAGCCATAAATTCCACAGGAATTCCACTGACTGACACAAGGAAAAGGAAAGGGGGGTGAGGTTGTACATTAGAAGGGGTTCTTAGGTATCAGGTGTTTCAGGAAGTCTGCACCTCTCAAGCGCCTCAGCCAACAGGGAAAGAGAGAGGGAAATGCGGCCAGGAAGTGAGAATAAAAAGGAGGTTGCGTCTTCTAGTAATTTGAGAGACCCCACGGGAAATGCCCATGACCTCTCCCTTGATTCAAATAAAGTTATAGGACTCCTCTGTCTCCTTTTTGGACATAAAACTCTGGTGTTTGGACACGACCCTACCTTCTATGACCGCATAGGGCACGCAGCGTCCGGGCGCCTCCAGCAGCACGGCCCGCAGGTCCCCGTCCAGCCGGACCTTCCTGGCGCCCTGCGGGAGCAAACACAGGCCGCGGCTCAGCCGGCGCGACCAGGCCGCGGCTCGGGGGCCGGGCACATGCACTCCCCCGGCGCACCCCTGACACCCACCTCGAGCCCGCGGGCCACGCGAGCCTTCTGCCGGTAGATGGAGTAGAGCAGGGCGGTGATGGCGGAGCTGGCGGCCAAGAGCACGGCCTGTGCGGCCGAGGGCCGCCCGCCACCCTCCATGGCCGCCAGGCCCGCCGTTACCACGGCAACCGCCCGGCGCCCGGCGATGACGTCACGAGCGGCGCTCTGGCCGCCGCCATGGAGGCGCGGGGTCCGCCAGGGCCGGGCGGGGCGGGGGCTCCGGACAGCCCCGCTGGGGTGCGGGGGTAACGCACACTCTGTGCGGGCCAGATCCCGGCCCCACGGAGCTTTAGGGGCATAAACCCCGTCTTTGGGAGTTTGGGGGGGCGGGACAGCTGGCAGCCGCCCCACCCCTTTACCCCCGCCTCCACCCTGGGGTCTTGGCCGGGACATCAAACCCCAGCCTCACCAGCATCTGAGGGGGATTATCCCAATCCAAGCCATCCTTTAGGATCCTGGCAGCTGGCCCCAAATTCTAATGCCTCTGGGTGTGTGGGGGAGCATCCCCGTACCTGCCCACCACCCAAATCTCACCTGCTGCTAAGTTCGGGGGGCAGTGGTCAGACCAAAGCCTGTTCCCCCGTGCCTGGGAGGGGATATCTCTCCAAATCCCTGCAGCATCTCGGGGAAGGGCTCACACCCCCTCGCCGGGCTGTGGGGCAGCAGCACCCCGAGGCCCCTCTGGGGGGCTCAGGCTCAGGACGCAGCCCCCAGCCCCACTGTGCAGAGTCCTGCCCCACAAAGGGCCATGCAGGGTGGCAGGTCCCTGCTGGGGGGCATAAACCTCCTCCACCCCCCATCTCCTTACCATCACTTATTCTGGGAAAGCAGCAAAAGGGGAAGAAAAAAATAGCAGTTTTTCATAAATTATTGATCTTCAGGCCCTTGGTGTTAATTTGAATTGGGGTTGGGGGGTTGGTGCAGGCAAGTTCTGCTCCCCAGTGGGGTCCAAGGGGCCAAACCCCCATCACTGCTCCCCCGACGTGGGCGGCACAGCCGCCCCCCAGCTCTATATTTAAAAAATCAAGTTGCCATGGCTACGCAGAGCAGCTCTCCCCCGCCCTCGGTGCCGCAGCAAAGCACCGTGGGCCCCGCAGGCACCCCTCCTTGGCCTGCCTTTTGAGGGACAAAAGCAATACAAACCCCTCAAACTGCCTCAGAGCCGAGCTTAACTCTGTCATCCACCAAGGCCCGGGCGAGACACAGGCGCCGTCACACCGCAGAAAACACACATTCATTTTATTATTATGGCCGCTGAGGAGGAGGCACGAGAGCAGGTTCATGTGCAGGGCCGGGGGCTTCCCTGGGGTGCAAACCCACCCCCGCCACGGGTCTTCCTGCAAACGGAGCCGCTGTCTTGTCCAGACCGATCCCGAGCAGGGTCCAGCGCCGGCTCGGGGCGCAGGGAGGGCACCCCGTGCCCGCGGCCGCTCAGCACGCGGCGGCGCGGGGCCCGCGCAGGCTGCACCCCCTCATGTCGCTGGCCAGCCGCAGCACGGCCGCCCGCCCGGGGTCCCCCAAGGGCGTCGCGGCGCCGAAGGCCTCCTCCTCCTCCTCCTCCAGGATGGAGCTGAGGCGGGGGGCGCAGCGGGCCCGCTCGGCCGGCGGGCGGTAGGGACACTTGGCGTTGAGCAGCCGGCGCAGCGGCACCAGGGGCACGATGGCGTCGCCCAGGAGCTGCTGCTGCACGTGGCGGAAATCGCTCTGTCTCTTGAGGCGCTTGAACTCGTTGAAGGCGGAGGCCGAGGTCTGGTAGAGCAGCAGGGCCATGGCGCGCGCCTTGTCGGCCTTGGAGACCAGCACGGCGTGGCAGCGCAGCACCACGGCCTTGTTCTTCACCTGGTGCCGGTACACCCAGGCGAACACCTTGGGGTGCCGGCGGTCGGCGGCGCAGTAGGTGATGCGGTGCAGCAGGTACGCGTGGCCCGGCCGGCGGGCCCCCTTCTCGCAGGGCGTCATGCGGATGCCGTGCGGGCCCAGCGTCAGCGTCATCTTGGCCCCGCCGGCGCCCGCCTCGCTCTTGGCCCAGATCTTGCCCACCGCCTCCTCGGTGCAGCCCTCGCCCTTGGCGTGCAGGGTGACGGCGTTGCCCAGGTACCTCACCGTGTACGTCGGGTCCTCCTTGTTCAGCTCCACTTTCTGGCGCTTCCCGCGGAAGACGCTGCCCAGGCGCTCCAGCGGGCACTCGGGCAGCAGGTCCGGGCAGGAGCGGAGGAAGCCGGCCAGCAGCGCCGCGTAGCTCAGCCCCGGCCCCAGGCTCTTGCCTTTGCACTTACGTTCATTTTCCACCAGCACGAACTTGCTCCGGCGCCAGGGCAGCATCTCGGCTCCGCTCCGCTAACGCCGGCCTCGCTGGCAAGCAGCGGGACCACCCCCCAGCCCGAAGCCGCTTCGGGGGGTGTCCCCGCACCCCCGCGCAGGGGGTGTCGTCCCCTCGCCCGGCAGCGGGACGCGGCCCCGGGGCCGATCCGGCTGCCCACGGAGGATGCGGAGCCGAGGAGCCGCCGCGTTCCGGGTGCCGCCTGCGCCTGATGCTGCGGGAGCGGCGGCGGCTGCGGGGACGCGGCTCTCCGTGGGCTGCTCCACCTCCCCGAGCACGCGGAGAGCCGCCGGTGAGCGGCCCCCGCCGGCGAACGGCCCCCGCCGGTGCCCCGCGGGGACAGCGAGCCGGGGGAATCGAGCCCCCCGTGCCCCTGCAGCAGCCAGACCCCCTGCGCCGAAACCCACCGGCGGCTGGGGAGATTCCCTCATTTCCCACCCGGCTGGAGGGGTGATTTTGGGAGGATCAGATGATGGCTTCTGGCACCGGAGCGACAAAAAGGTGGGGGGGTTTTCCCCCCCAAATCAGTACGTTGCACAAGGGTGTGTGCCAGGATTTGCAGATCCTGCAGGTTTGCTGGCATTTTTTCCGCCAAACCTCCCATTTGCTCCTGTTATTTCCAAGCCAGTCAGACCTCCTTGCTGCTTCTTTCCTTTTGGGCTGAGCTGGCTTTTAACCTGTTGCTTTTATCTCTGGCCAAGGCCCTAGGACAGCTTCCCTCCAGGAGAAATGGAATGTTATGTCCCCATGGTGCAGCTCGGGGGGAATTTTTGGGGAGCACTGCAAGGTTTCAGCCCTGCAGTGGAGTCTGAGGCTGCTCAGGATTCAGTGCCTTTGGCTCAAACCCTGATTTCCACTTTTTTTTTTTTTTTACCATCTGGACATAAAGCAAGGAGACCTCTGGGCTTGGAGATGCTCTGTTTGCCTTGGGATTAAAAAAAAGGGGTAAAATAACACCATGTTCCCCCACTTCTAGTCTGCTTGGGGAAGAAAATAAGAGTGGGGTGTCGCAGGGAACGGGAAGCCATTTCCCAGCAGCTTCCCAGATTTTCTGCAGTTTGAGTGAAGCAAATACAACCTTAAAATAGCAGCTTCACAGGCAGACAGCACCAGCCCCACTCTCTCACTGCCGCGGCCTCGACAGCCTTGTAGGATTTTGCAGCCAAAATAATAAAAAATGCATGAATTTGTCTGTTTTTCAGCTTTTCTGATGCAAACATGGGATGTATGGTTTGCTCCCAGTGCAAGGATGGTTTTGGGGAGATCGCAATTAGGGAATTAGTGCTGATGAGGGAGATTCCTATCCATGCTAGCCTCATCTTTCATAATTCCTATTCTTGCCCTCATTGACTCGAGGCAAGGACTGTGTTTACTTGCTTGGTGTTTACATTGAGAGGGCAGGTGTGAACCCACCCTGAAAGCTTCTTTATTTACAAATCCCACATTATTGGGGTCAGGGGGGGCTGTGGTGTCCCTCTACACTGGTTTGATCCCACAAGTTGCCCTAGGACTGGTTTTCCTTTTTCTCCCAGATTTTGGGAGGCAAGGGAGACTCTGCACCACATTGTATATAGGGGAAAACAGCCTGGATTTACACTTGAAAGCTGAGAGAAAGAGTTGTGGGCTGGTTCAGGCTGCCAATGCCTCCTCTCACTCACTGCCCTGGCAAGTAGGGAACTGTCATCACTGGGTGCAGAGGGAACAAGCACCCTGAGGTGTGTGGGAGGTGGGTTTCCTGGTTATCCCTTGGACAATACCGATCTCAGCATCCCAGATTTGGTTTCTTGGGGTACCTGTGCTGGTCTCACTGCCCCATACTCTGTTTCAGCTCCCAGAGTTTCAGCCCCATCAGAAGCCACTCCCAATTTGGATGCTGCTTCCCAGCCTGTTGTGGCTTCTCAGCAGTGACCCAGCAGCAAGATTTGATGGCAAAACCAGCAGGTAAGGTCAAAATCCTCCCAAAATCCAACAAACTGGACAAAAACCCCAGTGATAAATCTCTTGGGGCTGTGACAACCGTCCTTGCAGCTAGAAAATGGGGCAGGAAGCTCCTTGGGCAAGGGGAAAAGTAGAGAAATCTTTAATTAAAAAGCAATTTGATGGTCACCCGGGAGCCCTTTACCTTGTGTGGACTGATTCCCATGGAAGCACCAGCCAGACTGAATTTGGGCTCCAGCATGAGGGCATCTGAAATTGGGCTTTTGACCACCTGTGTCTTCAGCCACTTTCCTCTGCTGCCTGTAGTTAGAAGACCTGGGAAAATATTATTTTTTATTATTTCTTTTAATGCTTTCAATCTTTTTTATTTATTTCTTTTGATCTCACTGATCGGGAGCTGTTGTTCCTTCCCCCCAGGAACGATTTAAGGACATTTTCCCGTGGAGCCACAGAACCAGTTTTGAACTGAGGAGGAAAAATCCTCCGGGATGGTGGCGGAAAACTGTTCTGCCAGGACAGAGAAAGGAGGAAGTAAGCAATGAAAACAGGAGAAACTGGACAAAATGAGGCAGCAGGCAGGGAGAGGATGTGGGAATCCCTGTGCTTTGGGGCCAGGACTGCCCCTGAGGATGCTTCCCAGAGTTCAGCTGCGTGCCGGGGCGTTATCCCGGCGTCCCGGCCAGCCTATTTTCCAGGCGAGGAAATATTTAACCGCGGCGTCAGCGGGCAGGGCAGGCAGCTGCAGGAATGGAGAGAAGCGGGCAGCGCTCGTTCCCTGCTGTCCCCCCGGGCCAGCCTCAGGGTGACCATCTGCAGCTCCTGCTGCGCCGCAGCCAGGAGGCCAAAAGCTGCGCCTATTGCCCCTACAGCCGGTTCCCGGTGGGAGCTGCCCTGCTCACTGCCGGCGGGGAGATCTTCTCGGGTAAGATGGGGCTCTGAGACCCCCCCGGGGGTTTTGGGGAGCCCCCAGCAAGCCTTGGGTCATGTGTGAGGGTGTATTGGGGTCATCCCGGGGTGCTGGTGTTGTGTGTCCTCCCCCGCTGTCTCTTGGCAGCTGCCATCCCGGACCGAGCCAAAGATCACAGCGGATGGCAAAATAAATAGGGGAAGCAGAGAAAATGGCTTTTCTGTGTCAATTCCCGGAGAAGAAAGGAGCTGGTGGGGTTTGGGGTGGCTGATGCCGGGGTTGTCCCTGCAGGGTGCAACGTGGAGAACGCCTGCTACAGCCTGGGGATGTGCGCCGAGCGCGGTGTCATCCAAAAAGCCATCTCCGAGGGGCACACCAGCTTCAAGGCCATGGCCATCGCCAGGTGAGGGTGCTCCGAGAGCTGGAGTGGTGGGGAACCAGCAGGAGAACCCCCGCTGCTCCTCAGGGACAGCTTCTTTTGCAGCAGCCCCATTGTTTGGGGAGGGAAATAAAGTTTTTGCATGCTGTTTTTGGAGGAATTGGGGGAGCAAATCTGTTGTGGGTCTGTATTTATCGGGGCATGAAGGTCTTCTGCAGGTGTTCTCCCCTCCTCTGACCTCAGGACTGAACTCTGTGCCCTTCTCCTTTGGCAGTGACATGAGGGACCAGTTCATCACACCCTGTGGCGCCTGCAGACAAGTGATGAGAGAGGTGACAGCTTGTGTGGGGCTCCGTGGCTCATTCCCTGGTCCCAGACACCATCCCCTGACCCCAGGCATCTCCCCCTAAGACACCTGGACGTACCAAGGAGGGTGCAACCCCCCATGCTCAGCCCCAGGGCTGTCTCCAGGCTCCTCAGATTTCATTATCCCCTGGCAAAGGGGTATTCCAGCCCTGGGTGGGTGTTCAGTGGGAATTCATTAGCTCGCCTTCCAGGTGCAGGGATTTGCCCTTGAGTCCTTCCTCTGGCAAGGCTGAAAATGAGGGTTTTCCTGCAAAAGCTGAGCTTCCCAAGCTCCTGTCCAGCTCTTCTCTATGGGAATCCCAGCACCCCCACCCTGTTTTGGGGTTGTTAATATTTAATGGGTTGTGGGGCTCTGCTCAAGGGTCAGATTCAGCAGGTTCAGAGGCACTGGGGCTCATGCTGGTGGGGTAAAAACACAGGATCTGAGCCCAAAATACCCTCTGAGGGAGGTAATGCTGATAAGCCAACCCAAAATACATGTAATAGAGGGGGATGCTCCCTGTGAACCTGAAAAAAATGGGTATATGATTAATTTGGGGAAGAAATGCAGGTTCTTCCATTCTTCTCCCTCATCAGGCTCTTCTTTCTCCTCCTCCAGTTTGGCACAGACTGGTATGTCTACCTGACCAAAGCAGATGGCACCTACATTGTCAAGAGGCTGGAGGAGCTGCTGCCACTCTCCTTTGGCCCTGAGGACCTGAATAAGGTCTGAGCAGCGTGGCCACCATCAGCATTTGCTCTTAGGCACAGGGGATAATGATTTTCCCTGATTTTCTCAGCCTGTAAGCAACTTTTTGGGAGCAACACAGTGGGAAATTTGTTTATACTGTTAAGTTGCCCGTTCCTCTGTCTCATCTTCTAATTCAGTGTTGATTTGCAGACTCCAGCTCCACCTTGCCCCAAGGAAATGGCAAAATCAAATCATAGAAATTCCCTGTTATTAGTAAAAAAAGCGTCCAGACATCCCTGTAGGCAAGGGAGGACATGGGTTTGATGCAGAACTCAAACAGGCTTTGGTACAGAAACCACTCCTGAATAATGCAAAATCATTGCTTGGGAAAGTGCTGGATCCTTCAGCTCTAAAAAGAAGTGAAAGCAAGAGGGAAAAGGTCCATCAGCCCCAGAAGCAGTTAGTGAGCCAATCCAGATTAGGTGAATTGCTGGAACAGGGTGGTTATTGCACTGACCGTGTCCTTTGCTCCTTTCTTCCCAGCTTGTTTTCCTAGCTTTTATTCTGTTTGGGGTGAAGAAGAGGACAAGGAGTTTTTGGGGTGTTCTGGAGGGGTTTGTGCCTCTGGGGTAATGCCATTTGTTGATTGTATATTGATTTATAATGCAATGACAAATGAATTCATTACATTTTCCAACCTGCACTGGGTTGAGCATTTCTGCCATGCCTAAGTGAAATAAAAACAGTTCTGTTTTATCTCCTGCAGTTGTAGCAAGTGATGAAACACAGGGAATGGGGTGTCAGGGCTGTCCTGCAGCCCAGGCAGGGCTGGATGTGCCCTGGGAACCTCATGAGGTTCAGCAAAGCCGAGTGCAGGGTGCTGCCCCTCAGTGTCCGTACTGGCTGGGGGATGGAGAACACTCCTGTGGGAAGGGCTTGGAGATGCTGGGGATGAGAGGCTGGATGTGCCTCGGCTGTGGGGCTGATCTCACAGCACAGGCAGCAGGGCAGGGATGCTGGCACAGGGTGCTCAGAGCAGCTGTGGCTGCCCCTGCATCCCTGGAAGTGTCCAAGGCCAGGCTGGATGGGGCTGGAGCAAGCTGGGATAGTGGAAGGTGTCCCTGCCCATGGCAAGGGTGGGACTGGATCGGCTTTGAGGTCCCCTCCAGCCCAAATCAGTCTGTGACTCTGTGACTTGACGATTCCACACACGGGGTTGTGCCCTGGCTGTTTCCAGGTCAGTGCCGTGCTCCAAGCCAAGCCACTCCCAGCTGTGGCTTCCATGCCCTGCATTGCACAAGGCTTTACCTTGGCTGCACCCTGCTCTGTGCCCTGTGCCCTGCTCCATGACCCATTCCATGCCCGGCCTGATGCCCCCCTCCATCTCCCCTTCCATATCCTGCTTCATGCCTTCTACATGTCCCCTCACATGCCCTGTTCAGTACCCCACTCCACACCTGCTCCACATCTTGCTCTGTGCCCCATTCCATGTTCCACTCCCATGCCCTGCTCCCTGCCTGTCTCCATGCCCATTCCCTGCCCCACTCCATACCCCATTCCCTGCCCCACTCCATGCCCACTCCAGGCCCATTCCCTGCCCCACTCCATGCCCACTCCATGCCCATTCCCTGTCCCACTCCATGCCCATTCCCTGTCCCACTCCATGCCCATTCCCTGCCCATTCCATGCCCATTCCCTGCCCCACTCCATGCCCATTCCATGCCCTCTCCCTGCCCACTCCAGGCCCATTCCATGCCCCATTCCCTGTCCCACTCCCTGCCCCACTCCATGCCCATTTCCTGCCCCATTCCATGCCCTCTCCCTGCCCACTCCATGCCTATTCCCCGCCCATTCCATGCCCTCTCCCTGTCCCTCTCCCCCCCGTTCCCCGCCGTCCCCGTCCCGTGCCGGGGGCGTGGCTTGGCGCCCCGTGGGCGTGGTTCCGGGCGCGGCCTGCCGCCATTGGCCCGCTCTGGGCGCCGCCCCTGGCCCCGGCGCGTCGGCCATGGCGGTGCGGCTGCTGCTGGCGCTCCATGCCCATTCCATGCCCATTCCCTGTCCCACTCCATGCCCATTCCATGCCCATTCCCTGCCCCATTCCATGCCCATTCCATGCCCTCTCCCTGCCCACTCCAGGCCCATTCCATGCCCCATTCCATACCCATTCCCTGTCCCACTCCATGCCCATTCCATGCCCATTCCATGCCTATTCCATGCCTATTCCTCGCCCATTCCATGCCCTCTCACTGTCCCTCTCCCCCCCGTTCCCCGCCACTCCAGGCCCATTCCCTGCCCCACTCCATGCCCATTCCCTGTCCCTCTCCCTGCCCACTCCAGGCCTATTCCCTGCCCCATTCCCTGTCTGACTCCATGTCCATTCCCTGCCCCACTCCATGCCCATTCCCTGGCGGCCGCTGCGCGGCGCGGCCGCGGCGGCGGCGTCTGCCTGGCGCTGGCCATGGCGCTGGGCCTGGTGGAGCCGCGCCTGGAGGAGCAGCGCCGGGCTGAGGCGGCGTGTCGCCACATCCAGGTGGGAAGCGGCCCGGGGATCCCGCGGGGCAGCGCCTCCGTGAGGGGCAGGGGGCCGTGCCGCGGGGAGGCCTTCAGCCACCTCCAAGAAGGGCACGGGAGGCCGTAGCCCTCCAGGCATCCTTCTGGAAAGAGAGGGTGGTCCTTGATGTGTGGAGCCCCCTGAACGCCCCCATGAACAGTGTCAGAGCTGTGGGGAGCCGCTTAGACACTCCCCCTATGAAGGGTAGGGGGGTCCTTGCTTTGGGGAGTCCCTCAGACACCCCCACTAAGGGCAGTGCTCATTGCTCCCATAAAGGGGAGGGGGATTCTTGTGAAGAACCCCTCAGATGCCCCTGTCAAGGGAAGGGGGGTCACTGCTGTGGGGAGCCCCCCTGACAGCCCCTGTGATGGGCACAGTGGGGAGCCCCCCGACAGCTCCCCATCTCTCCCCAAGGAAGGTGGGGGGTGCTGCAATGAGCAGCCCTCGGGTACCTCCCCAAAGGAGGGGTGCTGGGAGCAGCCCCAAAGGCACCTCTTTCTCCCCAAAATAGGGTCATGGGAAAGTCTCAGTCAGCAGCCCCTCATCACCCCAAAGCAGGTGCCTTCAAAAGCAAGCGACCCTCACTGCCTGTCCCTCCACAGAGGGAGGGGTCGGGGTCCTGGTGGGGGTTTCATGTCCCAGGACACTGATGTTGATGCCCATGGGGACCCTGTGGTGCTGGGCCAGGCTGTGCTGGCAGGGCACGGGGGACGGAGGGTACTGAACTTATTTCCTGGGTAAAAATAGACCTCTGGTGCTGAGAGCCAGCTGTCACCTGCTCCGCCGACCAGCAGACACATTCCCTGAGGTTTCTCCTGAAGAGGATGCTTTCTCTGCTCTGTCCCTGCTGGGTTGCTCCATTTGCTGTCCCTGGTCTGTGTCCGATGACACATCCCTAGGGTGTCACCGCTGCTTTGGGGCTGCAGCTCACAGAGAAGGCCACTTGTTTGTATCAGTATGGTGGCAGCTGGGGCAGCACCAGACCTGTGCAATCATGAACTGTGATGAAACTCCAAAACAGCCTCCTGTGTGTTGTTTTTCCAGATATCTCGATTTCCTCCCCAGCTCCATCCCATCACAGATTCACTCTCCCTCAAACTAACCAGCCCTCACAGTTGACTGCCACAAAAAGGCCATTGTTTTTCCTGTTTCTGCTTTTAATTGGATTTTCTTTTAAATGCTGTTTGCCTGATTTGTTTATGGAGAGGGAGAAAAGTATAATAATGCATCTATTTTCAGAAGTGTTCAGTTAAACTTTTCTTTATGCAGCCACAGAATCATGAAATGGTTTGGGATGGGAGGGACTTTAAGGCCCATCTCTTTCCACCCCTGCCATGGGCAGGGACACCTTCCACTATCCCAGCTTGCTCCAAGCCCTGTCCAACCTGGCCTTGGACTCTTCCAGGGATGGAGCAGCGACAGCTTCTCTGGGAAAATATATTTATATTCTAGATTGGCAAATGACTCCCCCTCCTGGTTCCTCTTCTTCCCTCGAAAAGGGCACCTTTAGAAAAGACTGGTTTAGGGGTAACTTGTATCACACAACAATATATGGCCTGCAGATGATCTGTCATGTGGTTACAGTGAGTTGAGGCCAATGGTTAGAGTCTGACTGAGACTTCCAGGTTGGACCATCCCACCAGGATGTGTAATACCCCTGACACACCAAGTTCTCCTTCTCTGGGAAGTCTGGGATAACTGAGTGGGTTTTTCTGTTCGTGTTCCTTTCAGACCATGTTTGTTGGGAAGAACAAGCCACAGAAAGATCCCCTGAGCTCCTTCCGCTGGCAGGGCTTCAAGCTGGAGGAGTATCTCATCGGCCAGCCCATCGGGAAGGGCTGCAGTGCTGCTGTGTACGAGGCAGCTATTCCCTTCTGCCCCGCTCCTGGGGGTCCTGCCCAGAGCAGCCCTCTCCCAGCCCTGCAGCAGCACCGTGCCTCAGCTTCCCAGGGGGCTGAAGAGGAGCCTGTGGTGAAGCACCAACCCAAAGGGGCTTTTCCCTTAGCCATCAAAATGATGTGGAACATTTCGGTAAGGAGTCAGCGCTGAATCCCCTGTGTCTGTTGCTGGGGAATTCTGGCTGGAATGTTTAATGCTGAAGTGTTGAAAGTGCTAATTATGGAGTGCAGGATGAGCGTGTCACAACAAAGCTGTTGGTAGGTGACACTGGAGACACTGGGTGTTAGTGAGTCCCAGAGCGAGGTAATCAGCATTCATCATCCTCTGGAGTCAGCACTGAGAGCTGCTGCTGCAGCTGTTGGGTGTGGAGGTGATGTTTTGGGAAGAAGAGGTTTTCTGAGGCTGGCTCTACTGGAAAGGTCTAAGAAGGGGAAAGCCACTGCTGCCAGTGATTTAGGAATTGGTGTCCTGTCAGTGTCAGGGCAGAGGTGGGTTTTCTTCCTGAGGAGTCAGTGGTCTCGGGGTGCACAGTAACCTGCCTGCTGTGTCCTCTTGCTGTGAGTGACTGTCCAAGATCTGCTCTAGTGTTTCCCAGCCTGGGTGACTGAGATCCAGTTCCACAGTGTGGCTCTTCCATGTTTAAAAAAATTCATGTGGCTTTCCCCATTGATGCGACAAGTGAATATTTCAAGAGAATCTTCCAAAATGCCAACATCTGGAGTTCCTTGGTCTCCAGATGTACCCTGGCATTTAGCTGTGGGCTCTTCTACTTGGGTTTGGAAGTTGAAAGTGAGTGCTAAGGTGTAGTTTGGATTGCTGACAATCAAGGGTGCATTTGAAGTGACAAATAGATTTCTTTCTGCAAATAAAGGCCTTGTGGCCTCCCTTAGTGAACTCTTTAAGTAGTTAATTGTCTTCCTTGATTTTCAAGGGAGGGAGGTCCTGGAATCTGGTCTCAGTCACCCATCTCCAGACGCGGTGCCAGAATCAGGATTATCTGCTCTCAGCTTGCCTTGGGGCCGGGTGATTTTGGAGCTGAAACCAACGTGGGGTGTGGCTGTTGTTGCAGGCTGGTTCCTCGAGTGAAGCCATCCTGGATGCCATGGGCCGAGAGCTCGTCCCAGCCACAGGCCGTGCCCTGTCCGGGGAGTACGGAGCTGTCTCTGGCCGCAGGTAGGGAGGTGGCAGGGTGCTGATTTTATCCCTTGGTCAATTTTGCAGCAAACTGTACTGTTAGGAAGGTGAACAGGGCTTTCTAGAATAGCTGCTGAAAGCAGGTAAACCTGGGGATTGTTAAGTTTGTTGG